TCGTATAAAGTGTTGTGCATGCAAATATAATAATTGTACGTGGCATGCTCACTCCTTCAGTGCCCTGATTGCATCAGCTGATTTCACTTCGAGGGCGAGAGAGAAACCAGATTCGCACGTACTACGGCAGTAGCACTCGTATTTTATTTCACAGGTAAAGCCCACGGTAAGAGCTATTAGCTCTCTTTCAGAGGCGAACTGGCCACGCACAATACCTCATCGAAATGGCTGATTTTTCATCACACGTGGACATTTATAGCAGCAACCAAATCATCTAAACTCGTGTTGTTTCGAAACGTGGTGATCACGTGAGAGAACACGCCGACTCAAAATATACAACAACCATCGCCAAGGTCCAGGTATCGACCCCCTACGTGCCGAGTGAGGGAGATAGCGTCCACGTGGAGACCGTGAAAACTCCAAACGACCTCCTGTATACCAGGCGAGGGAGTTAACATCTCGCCACCGTGGCGCCCATTTAGCCCATGGATGGATGCGGTTGAGGGCCCAGTTTTAACCACGCTGCCCTGGACAGAATTTAGAGTAAAGTAACATGGAGTGACTGATAATGCCAGCCACTCGCTCGCTCTTTCACTCAAGCCCACTCCTCATCAATTACCCTTCTATCGCCACTTCCACGGTCGTTGACTGTCCCCGTGAAGCTCACTCATTGATTCCTCTCGCCCGTATCGAGGGACTCGTTCCACCAGACTGACTGTTCCACCTCCACACCGCAGGTGGAACCACGGACCGCGTGAGAACATCAACAGGGCCGAAATGCAACATCCCCTTCATCAATGGGACCATTAAAGCACAAGGCAACAGGAGGGGCAGCACGGCTCCACGAACTCTCCACTGTAGCGATCTCGTGGCTAGCAGACCTCAGAATTGGGCATTTTAATCCATGAAATACGTAGCCATCGTCATGCGTCAAGAATGTAACTGCAGATCACAACAACACTGACTCACTCACTGACATCACACACTTCTCATGCAGCATCTTCCCACGCACCGATCCACTTTGGAATTCCCTTTCCACCGCCAGTCTCTATTCCCAAGCTATTACAATAAAACATTGGTCTGTTCAGGAAGCACGTGAACTCTTCATCGACTAATTCTAGATTTGAAGCTTTCGTGACTGCAAGGATTCATATTCTTAGGTTTTTTCGGTAAAGTCACGTAGGTAAAATATTAAAATTAATAAAAGAAAAAAAAAGAAAAGGAAAAATCACGACGTTTCGTGATTTTGCCAGTTTTGATGTGGTTTCCTTATTCACCAAGGTTCCTGTACCTGACACCATCGCAATCATTGAAGACATGGTTCATCAAGGACTGAATGCTGGGGTACCCCCCCTGGTGAGACACTGCTTAACCAATACATACTTCACCTGGAATGGAACTTTCTACAAGCAAACTGAGGGCACCCCAATGGGCTCCCCCCTATCTCAGGTTGTAGCCAACATCTTCATGGAGAAATTTGAGACTGACGCCATCCAGACTGCCACTCTACGCCCGACCTTATGGAAGAGGTACGTAGACGACACCTTTGTCATCTGGCCACATGGCCGGCCTGCTCTAGACCAATTTCTCGACCACATCAATTCCATACACCCAGCCATCAGATTCACCATGGAAGTCGAAAACGATGGCAAGCTACCCTTTTTGGATGTCCTAATCAAAAGGAGACCTGATGGTTCAATGAGCCACTCTGTCTACAGGAAAGCCACCCATACGGATTCTTACCTAAAACCGGATTCCCACCACCATCCATCCCAGAAGAATTCCCTCATCAAGACTCTATATCATAGAGCCCAATGCATCTCCGACCATAAACACATTGCCAGTGAACTCAAACACGTACGCCAAGCTCTTAAGGCTAATGGTTACTCCGACTACACAATCCGCAAAGCCATCACTCCAACCATCAAGAAGGATCCTGTTGAGGAGCCTTTCAAGACCATCACCTTACCCTACATTGCTGGGGTCACAAAAAAGATCTCCAAAATCCTGATTAAACACAAGATCCAGGTCCGATTCAACACAGTACATAAAATCCGTGATCTGGTACCGTCTGTAAAAGATGTGGTTCCAGACATACAGTACCCTGGCGTCTACAAACTAAGTTGCCTCTGTGGTAGCAGTTACATTGGGGAAACCAAACGACATGTCTCGGACCGCATCCGTGAACATAAAGCTGACCTGAAACACGGTAGGACAAACACCTCAGCCGTGGCAGATCACTGTTACAACTCAGTGGGCTCACATGATATTGACTTCTCCAAGACAGAGGTTCTCTGCAAGCCATCTGGCTATCATGAGAGATTCGTTCATGAGGCGATCCACATATACAAACACAGAGACAATTTTAACCGAGAAGATGGATTCTGGCTTAGCAATCATTGGAAGGACGTAATAAACCATTTCGACACACATTAGGGTGGGTAGAATAATACATAGTGTTATATTAAATGTATAAGGTATAGGTTGGTTTACAGCAATACAGTATATAATTTAATGTTGGCAGTATATAGTACGGTATATGCTCGTGTGATGCAATACAATAAAGTTTAGATGGAAGCATATTATATATTTTTTACGACGTAGAATTGTAATGTATTACTTGCTGTTAGTAACTCAGCTTATTGTAGAGTATAGTAAGTATACTGATGGTGCTATGCAAATTATACTTTAGTTTTTTATGTAGTTTATACTTTAGTTTTCTACGTGGTTGTTGAGTAACTGCAGCTACATATCATTAACATTCCTTTCCTTTGTTACTGCTAATCCCTGCACCCCCCCTTGGTGCTGCTGATCCTGCATAATGCATGGGCATAATATGACTTTGAAAACCCCCCGCCCACCTCCTACGCATTTTCCATGAATATGCTAAATTCCTCTTCATATGCACATTCTTTTGTTAAGGCGCTCTTCTTCCACCTCCAACGCAGCTTATATATAAGCTCCTAGCTTGGCAGTGTCTCATTCTTCACCTGAAGACGGCTGCTTGCGTTGTAGCCGAAACGTCGTGAGAATTATTTTATTTTATTATGTTTTATTTTTATTATTTTATTACTTCCCTTCTACGTGACTTTACCGAAAGAACCAAGAAGATGAATCCCTGCAGTCACGAAAGCTTTAAATCGAAATAGAACCAATGAGTATAACAGAACAGGTGTTAAGATGTTAAAACACCAAACAGAAACCTCTTGCAAGGAATCGTGTCAGCATTAACCACCTACACTTGTGATGAACATGCAAACAAAAAGAACATGCTCTGATAGTACATGAAGCATTGTCTTTAAAACGGATTGGGCCACACCAGAGACAACTTTATTTAGAGCCTAGTCTCAAACAATGGTATTATGGATAATAATGTATGATGGATTGTCTTTGAAACTGATTGTTCCACACCACAGACAACTTTATTTAGAGCCTAGTCTCAAACAATGGTATTATTATGGGAACCTCATTTGCCAGTAAAAATATGATAATTGTTTTTTTACCCTTCTATCTGGCAACAAAACTGAAACCTTTTTACAAGGAGTCATGTCTTTTGTTTGTATTATGACTGCAGGTATTGCGGTCTATGCAAACATTACTCCTTGAAAAAAGGTGTCAGTTTTGTTGCCAGATAGAAGGGTAAAAAAACAATTATCAATGGTATTATTATTGATAATAATGTATGATGCATTGTTTGAAACGTATTGGTCCACACCAGAGACAGCTTTCTTGAGATCATAATCTCAAACAGCGTTCGACCAGAGGATTGATAATACTGGTCACGAACGCCTCCGTGTTAAACAGACCAGAGCATGTCAAAAGGCGAACAGCACGAAGACATTGCACCATCAGGACATTGAACCCTGACACAATAAAACAAAGAAAATCACTGCATCTGGCAGGGAGCCCGGCTCGTCAGCAGAGGGCGCTCCCGAGGGATTTTGTTGTGTGTTTTTATAAAACGACACCCACGCCACGTGACTTCTCAGACCACGACCACTACGTGCAAGTCAACTTCCTCAATCGACAAGCTGCCGGTGAGACGCTCACCAAATACAACAACAACAAAACACATGTTTGGGTTGTTGTTGTTGCAGCAGCAATATTCTCATCTTTTCTCAGCGCCGTCGATCAATTTTCGGCGGGGAGCGGCGGTGTCCCCAGCACAGATGGAGACGGACGCGCCTTTAACCACACAAGCGGTGAGTCGATGATGCCCAGACCCCCCTGCCACCACCTCGACCGGCGGGGTGAAGTATGGCCAACCCCAAACCCTCGTGAGCCTTCTCACACGGAGCCGCGTTATCGGCGGTGGCAGCGGATCGATCAAAGCGCCGCAACCAATTCGAAACGAAGCTTTTGAGTTGGCGCAACGCTGTTACCACACGGCATTTAAAGACGCGATGTCCTTCCGTGGAGCTCACGATTGCCTCTTGGGCTTGTGGATGGAGGCCGGTGTGCACGTGCTATAAACAACGCTGTTGGCACGAACTTGTACGCGTACCCGATCTTGTAACCCCGACGGATGCTCTGTGTTCGTACGGTGTCGAGGCGAGATGATTGCAACTTTGTTTAAACGCGCGTGTCATGGTTCTCATTAATCGGCGATTGAATGCGGGGCAAACCCGATGCCAAAGTTGGAGATGCAGCAGCAATACACAGCCGCTCCTCTTATAGTCAATCCACTCGCGCCTATCCGAGCTGTAGTATTTTATTTTATTATCTGGACTTTAAATGTCTCTCCAACACGTGGCTTTTTGTGTTTCGACTTAGGTGGTTGCCAAGACTGAAGAATCTGTGGAGCTAAAAAGTGTGAGTGCAGTGTGTGATGCGTGGGATGGGTGCCACGGTTGTGAAATGTTAACTACCTCGCCTGGTGTACAGGATCGTGGATTTGATCCCCACCCGGATGCCTATCTATTTAGAGGTTTGCGTGTCTCTCCCCATGGTCGCGTGGTTTTTCTCCGGGTCCTCCAGTTTTTCCCCCCACATTTAGAAACGGGCGTTTATAAATTCCCACGTGTTGATAAGCCACTTGGTTGAGCTATCATTTGTGGCCAGGTCGCTTCTGAAAAAGAGCTATATAGCTCAGTGGGCCATACCTGGTAAAATAAAAATAGTGTAGTTTCGTTTTTAGAGTTTAGTATCATCAGCTGTGGTTACGGTTGCCACCTTTCCTGTTTTGATGCCCCAGACATTCTGGCATCAGTGTTGTGGTGGCAGCAATTGATTTGTAACGAGCTCTGGTACCGGGTATTGTGTTTATTTCTACGGCAGTAGGCTGCACAATTTTGATAACAGACCAAGTGCTCAGAAATGTGCGCGAGGTTGGTCTATAGTGGACAGGTTGTAAACCCAGCATGTGCTTTCATCATCCAGTAGCATAAGTTCCTTATTTTATTATCTGGACTTAAAATGTCTCTCTAGCACGTGGCTTTTTGTGTTTCGACTTAGGTGGTTGCCAAGACTGGAGAATCTGTGGAGCTAAAAAGTGTGAGTACAGTGTGGGATGCGTGGGATGGGTGCCACGGTGAAATGTTAACTACCTCGCCTGGTGTACAGGATCGTGGGTTCGATTCCTTATGCTCCTGTAAACGAAAGCTCGCATAGACTGAGCTGTGGTCAAATAACCCCCAAGTTTGATATAACACGGGGGGAGGGCCTTCATCCAGCAGTGGGTTGGTAAAGGGTGGTACACAATTATTTAGTTCCTGTAATAATTTACCTATTTAATTCAGGAAAAATACAGTGAGTCGTAGGACTCTTTTTCAGGAGGGGCGGTCCTGCATTGGTTTTTTCGTTTTGAGACGTTTTCAGCCACGGGGGAGGAAACCAGAGCACCCAGTGGAAACCCACGAACACCATCCCCGTACAGATGGAAACAGGTGGCGATTAGTTCACTTTGTGTACTGGATTCTGCAGGGCGAGTTCAGCATTTCAGAGGTGCAGGGCGACCTCTTCTCGTGCCCGGCCAACGAGGCGCCATCCCCGTACAGATGTAAACAGGTGGCGATTAGTTCACTTTGTGTACTGGATTCTGCAGGGCGAGTTCAGCATTTCGGAGGTGCAGGGCGACCTCTTCTCGTGCCCGGCCAACGAAGCGCCATTCCCGTACAGATGGAAACAGGTGGCGCGATTAGTTCACTTTGTGTACTGGATTCTGCAGGGCGAGTTCAGCATTTCGGAGGTGCAGGGCGACCTCTTCTTGTGCCCGCCCAAGGAGGCGCTCGCCCACTGCATCAGTGCCGACTGCCGCATGGGAGCCGGCATCGCCAAGATGTTCAAGGCAAAATTTAGCGGCACTCAGGAGCTGCTGAACCAGGGTTGGTGATGTCCTTTCTCATGCTGCGTCTGTCTCGCCAAACGTTGCCGTTCTGTTTTGCGATCGGCTTTTCTGAGCCGAACGGTTTAATTCGCCGTTTTCTGTCGGCGTGAATTCGCCTTGTTTTGTGGCTTGCTGCCCAACGTTTTATTTATTTTACTTTATTACATTCCTCCAGCAAAGAAGGTTGGAGAAGTGGCAGTGTTGGAGCGGAATGAGAGATTCATTTACTACTTGGTAAGTGCCAATAATGTAGAAATATATATCGCACTCATCGTAAACAATGGCTTATTACACAAATATACATCGTAATGAGAATACATCGTAATGTTTTGAGTCTCGGTACAGTTCTGCCTGAATTTAAGAGGTCGTAATGTGCTCAGGATGCTGGCATGGTGTGAAGGCCCACACACTGGACTTTCAATCCACGGATAAGCACATTTAGTCCTGGCATGGTCAGGATGCTGGCATGGTTTGAAGGCTCACACACTGGACTTTCAATCCACGGATACGCACATTTAGTCCATCGGCAGGTCGCGTGCCGTGGGGTAAAGTGTGGCTACTTCCACCTCTTCCAGGACACGTGGCCAGCGTGGAAGAGCAGGCCAGAATTCCCTCGAGAGGGGCAAGACAATTACAGGGCTGCATGTTGACCTAATAACTTATGCATAGTGTACAACCTATCGTTAATTAGCCACGAGTGTTGGCACAGTTGTTCCCGCACTGCGATATGCACCCGGCCACTGTTGTTCCGAGTCCCATTCGTGGCTCGCATCAGTGGCGCGCGATATCTTAACCAGTTCTCGGATCTCACCGCCTTCACCATTCTGTACTCACCACCTTAGTGAGGTTTGGCCAAATAAGCTCCGTGACCAATAAGCCATGGGCAGGCCCTATTCCAGCAATTCCTGTGCGCTGTTCACCGGCATGATGCGGCATGTCATCATCTCATCATCATGATCCCTGGTCAAGCCACCGAAAGCCCCTCCCCAAGCCGTTACCATCTCCAGCGTTCTTGTGATGCTACGATCCAGCACAACACCTGCACACGAGCTCACGTCATTGCTCCGTCTCTCAAAGGTGACCAAAGAGAGAGCCTTCCACAAGCCAACGTACCCGGATCTGGAGAACAGCCTGCGCGCCATGAAGCAACACTGCATATTGCACGGCGTCACGGCTGTCTCCATGCCCAGGTGAGTTGTCGCCCACAGCGAGCGCCGGATATAGCTCGCGAATACACGATGAACTTCTTTCGCACCGTACGTAGCCAACCCGTGCTAATCGGGGATGCGGGAGAGTATAGCCGCTGCAGTACCCAAGGCCTTCCCCGATACACGCCGATCTCAAAGATTACACCATCAATCCCGCACCCCCACCCCCACCAACTCGCCTTAAATCAACAAAACATTTTGGAATGTCGCTACTGCTCTCCATCGAACCCCATAGAGCATTGAACAACAGTGGTAAAATACCTGGGAATCTTGCGTACTACCGATTGTAGTGATTGTCTCGAAGGGCCTCTTAACATCCACCAGGGGGCCTCCCTCCCACGCGATACCCATGGTCCAACGTGAACCACGTCCACACAGCTCGTGGAATATGTGGGCACCCACTACGTAACCTGGGAGATGAAAGAATCTCCGACGTGTGGCTGCGGAGCGCGAGAAAGCAATTTCTCGTGTGGCGAAGTTGGGACCCGCTGGAATGGTTTCTTGTACTGACCTCGGCCACTGGCCCTGCCTTGTCCGTGTGCAGGATTGGTTGCGGCTTGGACAAGCTTCAGTGGGACAAGGTGAAGTGGATGATGGAAAAAGTGTTCAGGGGCAGTGGCATCAAGCTCACAGTCTACTACCTCTGACTGGGGCAGCGAGCAGTCAGAATGGAGTGAACTCTTGTGTGTGTGTGTGTCTGTGTGTGAGCACGGCAAGGGGAGCAGTGGCGTTAGTGGCTTTGCACGCTGTGCTACGAATCACCACCCTGCCTAACATCACTGGGGATGATCTAAAACGGGTCCTGGATCTCCTCGAAGTCGACTCAGCCTTAAATGAGTAGTGCAGTATATGGACGTCGGCACTCTGCGGAGACAAAAGTGGCTGGGCATGGTGCTCCCCAACAGCACTTGCCCCAACAGTCCTGTTGAACACTACACAGGGGATCTTTGTCTTTGTGTGGTGGCATGGTGGTTAGCGCACTGCGCTATGAACCGAGTGACCTGCGTTCGATTCTCAGGAACGGCTGCCATCAGTGACGAGTTTTATCTGATGTCCACCCCGATACTTGGTCTCCACCAGGTAGCCTCAGCCTTAAATGAGTGCCTGATGCAGTGTATAATTGTCAGCAATCGGGAGACAAAGCAGTCGGGCATGCTGCAAGTCACACCACCCCCTGTTGTTCTCGACTGGCCTTACTAAGTACTCACTACGGGTGTATGATGCTAAACGTGGGATATATGTTGCTGCATGTGACGGACACGTACAACACTCTCATACAACACAAAGGCCGTGTTTTGAATTCTGTTGCAAGTTTCGGCTATGTATGGGAGACGAAAAAACGCGGTCGTTATATGAAGTAAAAAGTGAAATTATTTACAGTTAACTAAATCGTGCTTTTCTCGCTGTAGCCTTCCGTGAAGCCCGGTTCACCACAGTCAGCGATTTGCTGCTTGAGGTTGGTGCCTCAGGGCCATCTGGAGGAGTCTGCAGAAGTGGACACATTTAACGAGCCATGCATTGGCCAACGAGTCACATTTGACAAACGCTGGGTTCCGATTGCTTGTGGGGCTGGCCCGATTCGTGCACATCCACCACCAACCAGTCACAAAGTTCGGGCTGATGTATATCAAACTGTATTTGCATATTAACCCAGTTCAGCCGTAAATTTTGTTTCGCAATAATGACTCATAATAATTACTGTTATTTGGGAGTGATGAAAGCAGCTCGTGTACAGGTGCTAGTTGTATTCTGACATCGCAGCACGGTGAGAGATGACAGCTTTGGGTGGCTTTCATTGAGCAGCGGAGTGATCGTGGCTGACGATGTTTCGCACGATGGTCACCCCATCGAGGCTATGCAAACTCAACCCCTGCGAAGATTGAGATCTCACGGGGTTGGGAACCTTATGGGTGACTTGGCCACAGACAGCGCTGAGTTGAACTAAACAAAAGACTAAACACATTTTTATTTTACCGGGTAAGTCCCACCGAGCTACGTGGCTCTTTTTCAGAAGCGACCTGGCCACAAATGATAGCTCAACGAAGTGGCTTATCACGTGGTAATGTATAGCAGCCAAATACTCTAGACGCGCGTTACTAAATGGAGGGAAAAACCGGAGGACCCGGAGAAAAATCCTCGCGACCACGGGGAGAACACCCAAAACTCCAAATATACAGCAGGCGTCAGGGTCAGGATCGAACCGACGACCTGTGTAAACCAGGCGAGGGAGATAACATCTCCTAGCCACCGTGGCACCGAGTTACTGGCACGGTATCCTTGGACTGAAAGCCCTCGTGAAACCGGAGGTGGTTCGGACTGGCCAGGGCGTGAGGTGCGGGTCGCTGACCCACGACGGTGTCAACCAAACGATGTGGGACGGCAACACGAACGATCGTCCCTCGCTCAGGCCCAACGTGATTTAAAAGTTTTTTATTTACCGTTATTATTTATTACGCTTGCTTCGCCAGAAGAGGCCGTTTTGAGTGTAGAACGTAAGCATATGTTTGATTTCGTTTCACAAATTTGGACATGTTGAGAGTTGTTAAATTCTTGTTGTTACTCATTTTCGTCGTATATCCTTGCCTTAACCCAAAGGTCATTTTCAATCCCAAACACATGTACACGTAGGCTTGTGTACACTGTTGAGCACTCAATTCAAACTCTTATGATACTCGTGATAGTTTTTTCTTTGCGATTTAACCCTGATTTACTCAAATTATTTGCAATATTTAGGCTCCTGGAGAGAATGAAATGTTATACTTAAGAACATTTGACTTACGAACTTTTCAGAGATGCGAACAAACCTGTCCGTATGTGCAGTTGCCTGTTCGGACCGAGAGTCGTAAGTTCAACCGCCGCACAATAGATGGCAGTGGTGGCATCTGGACCTTCAGAACACGAAGAACCAGTGGCATCTACATGTACAGGAGATTATTCATTCGCCGTGTTTAGTGTGCATGCCGTACAACATGTTTGGAATCGGCAGGGGTTAAGTTGGACTTACGAACAAGTCAACTTGCGAGCAGACCTCTGGAACCTACCTCGTTTGTAAATAGCGGAGTCCCTGTATGTGGAAGAGAGTCTATACTCTACCAAGTCTGTGGCGTTAAACAACCATTGTGGGCCTTGCATGGCGTTGCAAGAGCATTCTGTGTGGTACTTCCGGCGATGTGAAATGGTATTGATGTGCCAAGGAATGTTACCGAGATGTGTAATAAAAACAACGGTGCATTCATCGTGCAATGTGGATGTTGATGCTGTCGTGTTTGTTTTCGATGCTCCAAACACGTAACTTGTCTTACATTTTCAGCGAAAGGTGCGCGAGTGAAGTGGGAGGTTTCTGTGGGACAATGTTGGGTACCCGTCTGTGGTCTTACATTGTTCTCCATGTACATGAGTTGCATGGGGTCAGTGGTGCGCTCACAGACGCATATAACACGCGCTTTAGATTATTTTTTTACAATGAGAAAAATAATCAATAGTTAAGTGTAGAGTGTGAATACGTCCGTTGATAAAGGAGGGGGGACAGACATATGCTGTGTAACTGACATCTGTAGCCCGTGTGGATGATCGTAGCCTGTATACCTGTAAACAGGTAAACGGTGGTGTGTCGTTGGGCTAACTTTGGTACAAGGGTCCCAGTTTAACACGACGTAAGGGGCCGTCCATAAATGACGTCACGCACCTAAGGGGGGGGGTTGAGAAATGTGACGTCACATCAAAATGCGAAACTTAAAATAAATATAGACAACACGTTCTACTTAATTAAATATACTTTTTAAGAAATGTTTTCTACAAACATCAGAGTGCAGCGCCACATTAATACGCACTACAATGCCAATAGTTTAAAGCGATTTGAAGCATGTTTTATTTTTTGGGGGGGGGGGCCAGAGCTTTGTGACGTCATATTTGAGGGGGGGGGGTCTGACTTTGTGACGCCGTGTGATGGGGGGGGGGTCAAAAATCGTCCAAAATCGCGTGACGTCATTTATGGACGGCCCCTAAGGCTTTCGCGACCAATATCCGTAATGAAGTTTTTTTTGGGGGGGTTAGATCGCGTAAATATTTACATGTGTCGTTAAACCCGCCACCACCCAACACAGCCACTTCGTCAGGTTTGCCACGTAAACAAAACGTACAAAGTCGTTACTAGCACAGCAACAGCGGCCTGTTGGGAGAGTAAACCCACGACATTAACAATTCGAAACGACGTTTCGCTGAATTTCGATTTAAAGCTTTCGTGACTGCAGGGATTCATCTTCTTGGTTCTTTCGGTAAAGTCACGTAGAAGGGAAATAATAAAATAATAACAATAAAACCTCAAAATAATTATCACGACGTTTCGGCCACAACGCAAGCAGCTGTCTTTCCGACAGACCTGTTCTTCACCTGAGGACGGCTGCTTGCGTTGTGGCGGAAACGTGATAATTATTTTATTATGTTTATTTTTATTATTTTATTATTTCCCTTCTACGTGACTTAGACAAAATGTTTTGTCGTTGCCCGTAGTGAAACGGCTGTAACGCCGTATGGGACCTCAACATTCAATGTCCCTGTACAAGAAGAACACGGGGGGTGGGGGGGGGGTCATCCCGTGTGGGTTGACAGCTGTTCAAGCCTCGACTACTCCCAGTCGGTTTAGAGACGAGCAACGTCGGCTCAACGTTGGTGCTGACTGAACGCGAGAATGACCGCATCGTCAAGGAGGAGTCGGAGTGGCACGGCAATTCAACAAGCAACACTTTGCATCCCCAAAAGAAAAAAAAATTAACCCGTAAAAACAAAGTTTTTCACTATAAATCCTTGATATGCGTAGCATCGGGGCGGCTAGAGTCCTCTCGTCCTCTGGCTTGAGATGGCTGCCACCTATGGGTCAGATGATTGTCTGGCAGCATTAAACAATTGGTAATTAAATATTTTAAAAAAAATCCCTAAACAGTGTAAATTTTTTCACGAAAATGCATTGTCACGCACAACGAGTCTGTGTGCAAAATGTCAGCTCGATTGGATCACGGGAAGTGGGTTAAAAAACGACCGAAAGATTTGCACGGTCGTAAGCAAGCAAGCAAACTTAATATAAAGGATTTAATAAGTTATATTTTTAAAAAGTTTTTTTTAAACACGCTTTTATTAACCGTACTAGTAATGGAAGAACTCCACGACTCCAGGAAGTGGCCCTGAAGCTTGCCATAACGTAAGGTGCCGTCGTGATTTACAGCCAACGTCAGTTGACCGTGGACAATTAGACCCAAGCCGAAACATAACATATAAAAAAGATGGTTTAAATTTTATTTTTTATTTTTTATGATACAATATAGTATTGTCATCAGCATGACATAAGTATACCAAGTTTGCAGTCGATACCACATTGGGAAGTGGGTTAAAATTGAGTTACAAGATTTGAGGATACAACAACACCAGACAGGGTGAGTTAAATAAAAGCGTGTAATAAAGACACTAAACACGTGGACCCCAAGTGTCACACAATCTCGCTGGTCAAGCATAGGCTGGTCAAGCATAGGCCGGGCAAATAATGAACACGCACTCCACAGCAGAGGCAAAGACCAACGTTTATCCAAACCAACAATGTTGCATAATAGTCGAAACAATAATTCAGATTTTTCGACAAATGTTTGACGTTCTGCAAGTAGTGAAAATTTCAAAAAGAAATGCATCCTTGAGCCCATATTGCCATATATGTACATGTGTATTTACCTAATAACGTGATTACAACTATTCTAAATACGCTATTAAAAGTTTAGAGTCGTGTAAATGTGTATGAAATGCATTTTTATGAACCAACATTTTCATTGGCATGGTTCACAAACTCGGGCTTTCTATTTAAACCGCGTCGGCTTTCACTTGCCAATGTTACTCTTCATAAGTGAGTTTTGGATTAGGTCGTCAACGCAATCGTCTGACCAAGATGTGCGTCGTGCAACCCTTCACCAACCCGACACGGCCAACCGAATTAAAATGTCACGTGCACAATCATTTAACAATGTACACATTATAATGAGACAATTATTATTATTGAGCTGAAGCGATAATGCATCAGTAATTATTCAGCTCACCGGCAAGATGAGGTGGCGATCCCCACAACCGACTTTAGCAATAGACGCGACGTTTCGTATACCAACCATCATCAGTGAGATGCGCAAGCCTCAAGATGAGAATCCAGGAAGTGATTAACCTTAAATACGTACCATGACATCACGAGGAACGACGAATCGGATGCAAAGCTATTAAAATAATACCTTAATTTATTATAATTGTATTATAATTTATCAGTCCCAATCATTAACATTGTACTGTAACTCATTATGTACCTACTAGCCAAGCGTTTTAAAGGTTAGAACAGCGGTTTTGAACTTTTACTGCAGCCTTGCACCCCTTTGGTTCTCAATCGCTAAAAAATATGTTAGTAACTACATCGGTTTAATTAAACTAAGTAGTTGTACTTAAGTGCCTGATCTTAATTTGTGTTTCGATGATTTAACTTCGCACCCCTAGGGGGTGCACGTGCACCCCAGGTTAAGAACCACTGGGTTAGAAGATACATGGGTCAGGTTTTCATTTGGAATCAGGCTTTTATTGACACCTAAACGATGGCACAATATATTTCCCATTGTAGAAAAAAATGGACATTCATGAATCACCAATGCGATCCCATTGTCAAATTTTAATGACTCTATGGAAAAACACGTCTGGTAAGTGTATGCCTCCACATTTAAAGAATGAAAACGTTGTGGAAACTAATCACCCTGGAGAAAGAATATAAAACTGCTTCCTTCATGTAAACGCTCGCACATGATTCTCAAAAACATGAAAAGAATTAAGCTATGTACAGTAATCAATTCAACTTTTTAATATTTCGACGTTAATATAATAAATGTTGCACCTGTTCTCGCTGTTAAACTAAATAGAAAGTTTGTGTGCACCTGTACAAATAAGTTCAATACACCTCCCCACAGCCTCCACCTTCTAACATCGAAACATAGTTGGGGCGCCACGGTGGCGAGATGTTAACTACCTCGCCTCGTGTGGAGGAGGGTCGTGGGTTCGATCCCAATCCCTGACGCTTGTATATTTAGAGTTTGCAGGATCTCCCCCGTGGTCGTGTGGATATTTCTCTGTGATTGAGAGTATTTGACTGCAAAAAATTTCCACGTGATAAGCCACTTCGTTGAGCTATCATTTGTGGCCCAGGTCTCTTCTGAAAAAGAGCTACATAGCTCAGTAGGCCTTACCTGGTAAAATAAAAAATGGTTTAGATGCAAGGATAATGGTACGCATTTACCATTTATAGGTAACTTGGTTTAGATGATATCTCAACTATTCCAACGTCCTGCTGCCACCAGGCCAAGGATGATCCCCCCCATTGGCAGCAGCAACGGTGTGCACGCGAGCGTTAGTCTGCTCGTAGAGGGGGGGGGGGGTGCCGTTGCAGCTTCAGTCCTCGTAGGCGATGTTGTCGTACATGCCGCCCGGCGGCTGCGGCTGCTGCCTATTGAGTTGGGACCGGATGGCGGAGGAGGAGCCGGCGGGAGGGGGTGGCAGGTCACCGATGCAGTACGGGCGCAGGTCGTGCTGCAGCAGCTTCACCTTGTTGTCGACGGGCAGCTTGGTGTCGCGCAGCTGCGGGTACGAATTGTCGGGGTCGTACACGTTGGTGGGCTCCGGCTTTTTGCAGAATCTGGGAGGAGATATAAAAGAAGGGAGCAGTTGTGGACGCAGCCTCATCATCATCGTCGTCTTCACCATCAGCATGTTTAGATTGGTAATGGTGACCAATATAAACAAGGCAGGTAAGGCTGCCGTTGTAATAACCACCGCCTGCTTCACGGTCGACGTTAAAGGTCCCCTGACGTTATGTGCATGAGCGGGCCCGCTGTGCACTGGCGTCAAGTGCACAAATGTGTCAAATTACGCGTCACAAATGTGTCAAATTACGCGTCAAAAATGTGTCAAATTACGGGTCAAAAAGTGTCTAATTACGCATCAAAAATGTGTCAAATTACGTGTCAAAAATGTGTCAAGTTACGTGTCAAAAATGTGTCAAGTTACGTGTCAAAAATGCGTCAAGTTACGTGTCAAATTATGAAAATGAACCTGTAGATTATTCAACAGCAATCGTCACCCCCTTATTGGTCGACGAAGAGCCCCAGTTCACCCCAGGTCATTCTCGCAAATGAGACCAGCCTGAAAGTTCTCACCTGGTTGAACAAAATAAATGTAAATACAATTGCTGTACATGGCTGACAAAGGGTGGGTTATAGGACAAGTGTGGTAAAGCAGAGTGGTTATGCATAGAATGCTCAATTCCTGTACAAGGTTGAAGAGGCACCATAGTCCACCGTAGAGTTTCCAGTCTCAGATAATAACGCAGGCAGGTGGATTCATTGATACTCGGAACACAGTGGCAACGTGTCGTAATAATAATGCACCAGTGCCGGTCTCCGTGCATGTCTATGGGATCTCTATGCGAATCTGTGGGTCTATTGACTGTGTGAATCTACATGTCGCTGTGTGTGCATGTGTATATAGGGGAGCGGTAGGTGTAGTGGTTAGCGCGCTGCACTAAGAACCTGGCGACCAGGGTTCGATTCCCGCTCACGGCAAACACCAGTGACGATTATCTAAACCGGTCCTGGGCCTCCCCTAGGTCGACTCAGCCTGGTGCGATGTATAAACATTGCCGCTAGGGAGACAAAGGCGGCCGGGCGTGGTATTGGCCACCCACCCACTCGTGTGCCGTGCCGGCCTTTATAGGTGTTCGCTAACAGCACTTGCCCCTACAGTCTGTTAAGGCTATACGGGGGATCTTTTTGTATACAGTGGACTCTGCGAGTCTGCATCTATGTCTATAGGCCTCATGTGTCAAGTCTATGGACCTTCACGTGAAAGAGGGCAGCCGATGAAGCCACTGACAGTGCATTCTGGTCCCTCAATGAATCGAGCTGCACGCCTTATCACCCGGGGCGGACTTCGCAGCCTCCTCAACCCGGAGCCACGGAGGGCCACGGGAATGACGGCGCAACGTGGACGAGTGAGACGCAGTGAGACGTCTCACCCCTTGTTGCAGAACGTGCTTGCCAGCATGATCACGAAGATGGTCGCCAGAATGCTCCCCATAACGATCTTTATCCACGCTGTTGGAACACAAAAGAGGCCGGCTTGTGAGATAAGTGAATCGTCATCCGCATGCCGTCAGCAGCCCAATATCAGTTCATCATCTGCAGAGCTATCATCCGTTCGTCCGCGTCCAATATAAGGGAGGGAAGATGTTTTGATATTAAAAGGCACTTGACAAAACAAAAACACATCTCGATGAGGATGCTACCGCGGTATAATAGTTGGCAAACTAGACTTGTAATACGGAGGTCACCGGATCTACTTTAAACAATGGTCCAAGTTTCCTATAACTCCTCCGACTCTGTCCAACCCAGCGGCTTAAACGTGCACACCACTGTGAGTCGATCGGCAGGTCACGCGCGGTGGCGTTACAAAGGTGTGTGCTCCCACCTCTTCCGGGACGTCTGGCCATCGTGGAAGAGTAGGCCAAAATACTCTCTAGATATTCTTGGTTCATCTTCTTGGTTCTTTCGGTAAAGTCACGTAGAAGGGAAGTAATAAAATAATAAAAATAAAACATAATAAAATAATTCTCACGACATTTCGGCCACAACGCAAGCAGCCGTTCTCAGGTGCGTCAAAGTAGCCATCCTCAGGTGAGGACGGCTGCTTACGTTGTGGCAGAAACGTCGTGAGAATTATTTTATTATGTTTTATTTTTATTATTTTATTACTTCCCTTCTACGTGACTTTACCGAAAGAACCAAGAATATGAATGCCTGCAGTCACGAAAGCTTTAAATCGAAAAATATTCCTGGTTCTTTCGGTAAAGTCACGTAGAATGGAAATAATAAAATAATAAAAATAGAACAATAACATTCTACGTGACTTTACCGAAAGAACCAAGAATATGAATCCCTGCAGTCACGAAAGCTTTAAATCGAAAAATATTCTTGGTTCTTTCGGTAAAGTCACGTAGAATGGAAATAATAAAATAATAAAAATAGAACAATAACATTCTACGTGACTTTACCGAAAGAACCAAGAATATGAATGCCTGCAGTCACGAAAGCTTTAAATCGAAATATACCCTCTAGAGTTCGCTCTCGTGGTGGCCCCCTTGCAACAGCAGTGGCGTGAGCAAAGCAGTTGCAGGGCTGCACCTTTACCGATGCAGTATCTCAATATGAGCATTTGAAATGAGTAAATGCTTACTTTTGTCTGGAGGTCCCTCCGTGTCAGAAACTGTTGAGTAAGAAAAAATGATGGAATTAGAGGGCAGAACTTAAGATTGATAGATACAGCTCAGTTGTAGTGAGAGCTTTGTGACCTTATTTTATTGCATTAATTAAACCTGTAATTCATTATACAGAGCAGAGATGCAACGCCTTGTATACACTGTTCTTCCGCGTGTTGTAAATGTTATGTACTTGGAGGCTGCTTGTAAATACACTTACAAGTCAAGAAATGCATAGGATTTAATTTGAAAAAAATTATTCAAGTTAAATTATGAATTCAACGTCTTCAATTAATTGATCCATGCAGAGTAATGAATAAACATTTAATTAAAGCCATCAAAAGCACAGCGATGAATGATATAGCTCAAATTATAAAGACACAAAAGAATTCGGAGCAAGTGCTGTAGATGATGAGCGACGAAGCAAAAAGAAATTACTAACCAAGGTGACAGCGATGAAATGAATGAATGAAAGGATAGCAAGTGAAAATTGAGACGGCCTCTCACTGTTCCAACTGTGGCAGAAGGCCGCAGGCCTCGAGGCTGATGTTGTTGATGCACGGCGCTTGGACAATCGCGGTCTCGTTTGTTCCGTTCACAAAATCCACTGTGATCGCTTTTGCCCCGGCAATCCATCCGTCTCTGCCAAAAAAAGATAAAAATCAGTTCAACACATAGGCTTTCGTGACCAATATTATCCATGAAATGTTTTTTTTGGGGTTAGATCGCGTAAATATAAATGTGTCTTCTTGGTTCGTTCGGTAAAGTCACGTAGAAGGGAAATAATAAAATAATAAAAATAAACCAATAAAATAATTATCATTCAGACACTGTCTTTCCGACAGACCTGTTGTTCACCTGAGGACGGCTGCTTGAGTTGTGGCCGAAACGTCGTGAGAATTATTCTATTGTTTTATTTTTATTATTTTATTATTTCCCTTCTACGTGACTTTACCGAAAGAACCAAGAAGATGAATCCCTGCAGTCACAAAGCTTTGAATCGAAATATAAATGTGTCGTTAAACTCGTCACATCCGATTAGTAAGGTTTGTCACGTAAACAAAACGTGCCAATTTGTTACTAGTTCAGCACACCGGCGTGTTGGGGAGTAAACCCACAACATTCACAATTCGAGTTCGACGTTTTGCCAGTAATTACAACCAGCATTATCAGCCGACAGCCAGAATTGAAAATCACCGAGCGTGAGAACATCAGCTTAACCGTAATCCGCCGCACATTTCCGCACGACAACACCAGGGCTTGCATCCAGTTTGGGCAGTCTACGTTGGCGATTCGGAAATGTATTTCTGTACCCCGCACACCACATCCAGAATGCCTGTCGCTATGTCTGCAACTACGAATCACGCGCATCAACTCCAGTCGAACGGTGACCCAGAGAATCCTCAGAGAGGAATTCATCCCTGTTACACACCACATCCAGTATACCTGTTTAGCACGTAACAACGTCGCAACTACTCCAGTCTACCAGCGGACCCGGGAAATATTCAGTGAGGAATTAAGCCCCGGGGGCACAGGCATCATAAGCGCCCCAGGTCCACCCATGGCTGTGATCTGGGCTCCAGTGGGAAAGCAACAATTTTGTACACAACAATTCAGTGCAGGAGTTGTGTCCACCACGCACAATTTAGTTTGCACTTTGAGTCTTTTGTCGAGCACGTCAACCCGTCGTGATGCACAAACTCCAGCGAATTGCGGCGCTTCAGTTGACATTCGAAGCGGACTGCGACCCTCAAAAGAACGGCGCCGCCCCCAGCGAGTTCCGATTCCCGCTCACGGCCAACACCGGTGACGATTATCTGAACCGGTCCCGGGCCTCCCCAAGGTCGACTCAGCCTCAAATGAGTACCTGGTGCAGTGTGTAAACATCGCCACTGGGGATACAAAGGCGGCCGGCGTGGCGCTGGCCACCCACCCCAGTCGCGTGCCGTTCCGTTAACGGCCTTCGTGGGTGCTACTCGCTAACAGCGCTTGCCCCGGACAGTCTGTTAAGGCTACACATGGGGGAATCTTGGTGTTTGTGTGCACATTGCGTGTGCGTTGTGCGTGTCGTTTCTCACATGGTGGTCGTGAACCCAAGCTTCCGAGCTCCCTCCACGTGGTCCTCGTTGGCCAAGCTGGCGCCCCAAATGGCGCAACTGTTGCGTGCCTCGTTGTTGGGCACTGGCGAATCCAGCAGGTCCTGGTAAATGCCGTACTTCACTGCGAATGGCAGGAGAGGGCCCGAGACGAATGTTATTTTCTTAGTTGCGCACATGGAAAAATGAAAAACTCTCCGGTGTGCGGCTGTGGTCATCCAGAACAGACCGTAACAACGTATACCGACACAATGCCCCGATCCTCAAATGCGAAAGAGACGTCACGTTGGTGATACACTACGCCGCTGCTCTTGACGCGGTTATCTGGCTGGACCACCTGAATGTGAAATTATAGTTGTTGCTCTGCATCTACATCGGCCGTACAAAAGACGAAAAAGTAAGAAAAGTGGGGGGAAAAATCTCAGGTCAGGCTTGAGCTGCTCAGTTAAGATATATGAGTAGTTCAGCCATGGCTCAACTTAGGCTCAGCTCACGAAAATCCTGAGCACGGCTGGGGCCAGGCTCAGAGCCATCTCAAGTTAGGCGAGGCTTTGAGCCATTACTCACTTGGGCCAGAGACAAGCCTGAGTGGAGCCATGATCAATAATTCAGGCCTGAGTCTAGTTTAGCATTCTATCTCTGGAGAGGTTCGTGACAGACCCCACACCTTCCCAAACTTTATATAACTCCTCTATAACAATTGCTTCAAAAATGCTCCAAAGCTTGCTCTAAACATCTATCAGAAGAAATAAAAACGGCGTTTCCTTTTGTCCGTCAACGAAATTATGAGAGCCTTTCCGAAGGCCGGAATCAAAACGTTCTAGAAAGTGCCCCCCACCACACAGATGCCAGGGTAAAAAGTTAATCCAACAGGTTTCTAAATAATATATATTACATATGCCTACACACCCTATATACAATATAGTCAATAGTATCTGCACACGTTGGGGAGGGGTGGGGTGGGAAGAAGAGGACATCAGCGGGGGCGACTGGCGAGGCGGGACGCGTCGAGAAGCCCTGGGCCGCCGAAATTCTCGTCTGATAAAACCCGGCCCGAAAGGAAGGCTTTTTCTGTGATCGTTCCAATCACAGACTGTGGTGCATGAGTCAAACTTACGCGAGCTTTAAAACCTTGCGCTGTTAAATAATATAGTAGTAGGGTTTTACCCTTTAAACTGGTATCAAAACTGACACCTTTATACAAGGCATCATGTTTGCAATAACCACAACACAAGCAGTCAAAATGCAAACAAAAAGAAACAACAACTGATAATGATATGCACTGTCCTTGAAGTTGATTGGTCCACACCCGAGACAGCTTTTCTTAGAGCCTAGTCTCCATTGGTGTTGGACCAGATACGCCTTTTAGCGTATCTAATGCCTTGTATAAAGCTGTCAGTTTTTGTACCAGTTTAAAGGGTAAAAACCTACTACTATATTTTGCCACTGGTAAAGGAGGTCTCATAGTGTTAAACAATAGTTGATCATTGGCACCAGCTGTGACACTTGGGGCACGCGGCTCCCTAGCTTCCTCTTGGTTGATGAGATGCCGAATGTCGAAACTGGCACAGCGCTTTGCTTGCGTTGAACCAATGTTGCTTCAATTATGCGCTCACAGGCCACGACATTGATGGAGGGCTCTTGCCTATGACGTCAGCCAAACAGGTGGCACTTGTTTTAAAGGCCACACTCTACCGATGAAACTCGGGAAGTTGGGACCAGTCCTGTGTTTGTATATATAAACAAATTCTGCTGGACAAAACGTTGCTCTAAAACGCGCGTAGGCCTATGCAGGGCTTTGGTCTGTGTTTGCAATAAGGGAAAAATATAACTCGCAACCAGCACACCGTATCCGGTACATATCTCACTGCTGCTGTGGCTAATAGTCACAGTGCCAACGATCCGGAAAACATTCATTGAGTAAAGTCACGTAGAAGGGAAGTAATAAAATAATAAAAATATTATTAAAATGTATTATATTATTTTATTATATAATATTATTATATTATTTTATTATTTTATTATATTATTTTATTTTATTATGTTTTATTTTTATTATTTTATTACTTCCCTTCTATGTGACTTTACCGAAAGAACCAAGAAGATGAATCCCTGCAGTCACGAAAGCTTTAAATCGAAATTTATTCATTGAGTATTTAAGCCGTGGGTCTGATAGACTAAAGTGTAATCGAGCACCGGACTTAAACTACAATAACTCACAGTTGGTCACTATTCGCGTGGTTTCAACTCACGTGCTTCGTTGTAGCAAATGACGTTGGGAAGATCATTTGAGATTGCTGGGATGATATTCGGGTAGCAGTACGCGTGTGACGCATTCCACTTAAATCCACTCCTTTGTCCGTTCACGATCCAGCCTTCCCTGGAGGACGAAATAATGCCAACAGTTCTCAGAATCAGAATAAACATTTATACTGGAGGAATCCGATGAGTGACAAGGGGCCGTCCATAAATGACGTCACGCGATTTTGGACGATTTTTGACCCCCCCCAATATGACGTCACAAAGTTCTGCCCCCCCCCCCAAAACCATATTTCTATTTTGAAAATAAAACACGCTTCAAATTGCTTTAAACTATTGTCATTGTAGTGCGTATTTAATGTGGCGCTGCACTCTGATGTTGGAGAAGAAAACACTTATTAAAAAGTCTATTTATTTAAGTAGAATGTGTTGTCTATATTTATTTAAAGTTACGCATTTTGATGCGACGTCACATTTCTCAAACCCCCTCTTCCTCGTCACACATCGTCACAAATGTCTGACCCCCCCCCCAGGTGCGTGACGTCATTTATGGACGGCCACCAAATCTATTTTTCACAGACGCCCAGTATTTCACTGATGTCCAGGAATTGCTTCACCATCACCACAGCGTTCGTTCTCTTAGCCACATGCTCCCCCCTCCCCGCCTCGCAGACACACGAACTGGTGACACCACCTTGTTGAATTTTTAAATAAAAAAACATGGAAGCGAATTTGGGCAGGACAACGTCGTGAGACGGTATGATGGATGATGGACGAGGCCAGGAATGGAACGGCAGCCCAAGGAGGGAAACCCGCCGGGAGAGGACGGCCACGACAGAGGATGTCGCAGTGAGATCAAAAAGAGCTTTGCAGCTTATCGGATTCCTCCAGGATCAATAAAGATGCTGATTCCAAGACGCGTCGTTTGCATTGCAAGATAAAAGATGGATGCTGGCGGCGAGTGCGGAAACCTCATCCAGCAGTGGACAGACCATGGCTGATGACGATGGGTTCCAAGTATATTTATTGACAAATTATATTCTTTTGCGATTTAAAGCTTTCGTGACTGCAGGGATTCATCTTCTTGGTTCTTTCGGTAAAGTCATCACATAGAATGGAAATAATAAAATAATAAACATAAAACATAATAAAATAATTCTCACGACGTTTCGGCCACAACGCAAGCAGCCGTCCTCAGGTGAAAAAAATATATTCTATGCTAATAGACTCACTGTGATGACAGTAATTATTGAGTAGTTTTGACAGATATGTTTTTATGCAAAACAAAATGACACACTTAGGATCCTGAGGGTAAATTGTTTACGCCAAGGATGATTGTTGTTGACTGCGACTTCACCAGGGTAATAGAACAAGGCTAAAGCATATATATAGTTTGTGTGGTTAAACCTTAATGCCTGAGGCTCATGGGGCCAGAATGGAGCATCTTTATCACTTGTGAAGTTGAATGTCAATGTCTGAGGCTCATAGGGCCAGACTAAGACACCTTTAAGATTCACATAGGGGTCACAATTCATGCCTGAGGTTTAGAGACACAGTTTCAAGAGTGGTATGTCTAAAGCAGGGGTGGGGAACGTCCGGCCCGCGGGCCGTATGAGGCCCGCAAAATCATTTGATCTGGCCCTGCCAAGGCAACCGCAGGCTTGGACTCGAAATTCAACAAATCTAGGAGCAAACCTGGAAAAGCAGTTGCGAGTAGCAACATCATCAATACCAGCTACCACGCGCCTCGCCAAAGAGAAGCAGTTCCAGCCATCACATTAGGGGTGAGTTCATTAAATGTTTGACCAAATATAACAGGCTAATTTTTAAGTTGCTAATTTTGTATGGCCCGCGAATGATGTTATGAATATCCAAATGGCCCTTGGCAGATAAAAGGTTCCCCACCCCTGGTCTAGAGCAGGGGTCGGCAACCAAAATAACAAGAAGAGCCATTTCTTTCCAATTCGGTACAAAATTCAGTATTTCAAGAGCCGCAATGCATCTGAGTACATACTGTACATACGTACTCATCGTCAAGAAGCAGCCCGTAAAGAGCCGCATGCGGCTCTGGAGCCGTAGGTTGCCGACCCCTGGACTAGAGTCACAGCAGCTATCGTCGTTATAGGGAGATAGAAGCATAACTCCATTCTTTGTCTCCACATGTAAATAAAACACGTGTTTAAGTCCATCGGCCAATTGGTCTTTCCGGAAAAATATCCATCAGCATTTTTTCATTTAAACAAACTCACGACCAGTTTCATCTAGTTGGGTCTCAACAGCAGTCTGGCTTGCGTAACATAAGTTGCTGGGTTCCCATGTTTTATAGGCAAAATGCACTCCATCTAAACGATGGGGCACTGTTCGACGCAACAAGCAATATCATATATAGATTGTACGCAATATTGCATACAAATTCCTCATTATACATTGTTACGGAGCATTATTGGTCTCCACGTACAAATACAAACGCGCCTCCGATGATCACGGTTGACCACATGCGTTGCGCAAAGAAGTTCAATGTACGGCGAGCACACACAAAACGTGTCATAGTCCTGCTGGCCTATTTAACTTTGTTGTATTGTGTCAAGCAAGACCCGTACCAGCACTGATGTTCGACGAGGAGGGCGTCCTGAACCTGAGAAAACGTTGCTGGCACGCTGCCCACCAACACGGAGTGGCACTCTTGACTCACGTTCCTGTAATAGATGGCTTTCTTGGTGATGTGCAGGAAAACGCCCTTTTGCACTGTGGGAGGTGAGGTGGAGATGGGGGGAGGAGGCGGGAAAGAGGGGGCCAAATCAGTAAACACGGCAACGACAACATTCAAGCTGCATTTTCCCGCGTAACGTGGGGGAGGGGGGGGGTGATGGGGTAGGCGTTTCCATTGTGCGCAGCTTTAAACCGAAATTAAGTAAGACGGCCGAATTACCTTCGGTGACTTTTCTAAAACATCCGTAACAAAAATGCAAAAAATAAGAATCTTTTTTTTTTTATCCTGGAGAAATCCGATGAGCTATGAAGCTGTTTGTTCGCAGATGTCCAATTGATGTCACTGCCAGAGGACTCGACCCCAAATATTGGCGAGCGGTAAAATTACCTGACACAATACGGGTGACTGCACCCTGCCACTTACCGTGGTATGGTTGGCAAGTATGTTGCTCTGATTGTTGTACAGATCACACAATCTCTGTCTGCGATTCGGACGGAAGTTAACAGTTTCCCAATAGGGGGGGGGGGGGGGGCGGGGAGCGATCAAATTTTGTCCATATTTGGGAAACAATATATTCATGACAGAATGGTGCATTAACCATTGCCAGTGATGATGCCTGGCAGCAATTCCCCCTAAACCTGCACGAGCGTGCCTGGGCCTTGAAAGCTGAGCGTGAGCTGCCACAGAGCTTTCAAAGTTGACTTCCTGCTCAAATTTGGCATTGAGGCGGGCGGCTCATCTTTCGCTGACAGCCCTGAGGCAGTGCTGGAAATCCCACTTTCCTATCGCGAGGGAGAGTCTATCCCATAGGACAGCTACTGTGGACTTCGCCATCAACTGGTGCCTACTCGCTAACTTTTTAACTTCGGAAGAAGAATGACGGGCTGAGTCAAGCCCACCGACCACGATTTGAACTCGCAAATTTGAACTCGCAAATTTGAACTCGCAAATTTGAACTCGCAAATTTGAACTCGCAAATTTGAACTCGAAAATTTGAACTCGCAAATTTGAACTCGAAAATTTGAACTCGAAAATTTGAACTCGAAAATTTGAACTCGCAAATCCTGGTTGACCTGACGCGCTGTGACCTGTCAGGTCGGCGGCGGCGATCGCTCGCTTACCGACAAGGTTGGGTTTGCAGAATACGCTGTTGGAGAAGCAGGGGCCCTTGGTGACGGCTCCCACGCTCCCAATGCCACACTTGTCGTTGGACGTAATCCGCGGCATAACCAACTGCGTGCTGGCGACCCAGCCGTACCTGGGAAACGCAAGACGACAGGGCCACGGAGAGCGCGGCGCATCCGTAAGGGCGTCGCGGAGGCAGGCGACGGCACGAGCCCGCAATGATCTAGCACTTTGGGGAGGCCAAGGGGTTTGTGGATCACGACGAGATTTGTGTTGACACTCCCGAAGAACTGTAATGATGCAAGCGATTCAAATCGCGAGTGGTGTCCGGGGGGGAGGCGTGCAGGTGCCGGCTCAGGTCAGGAGAGAGCTCCCGTGTCGGTTTTTATTTTTTCCAGCCCAGAAATCAATGTAGCCGCCCAGGAGAACAGGTGTGTGTGTGTGTGTGTAGGTGCATTGAACTTTTTTATCTCCGTACGTAGCCGACCGTGCTAATTGGAGGTGCGAGTCTGGAGACTACCCAACAACAGCAGCAGCAGCAGAAGCAGCGCCCACTGGATGCACGACGGATCTCCCCTGCCCTACCCTTGCGCTCTCCTCATCAATGAATTCGTTACCAGCTCACGTCACTGGCAATTACGAAGCCTGCGGCAGAGCTCACTGGCAAACCGCATACCCCCGGATTAAAATTGATTCTCATGCCCATAATACCGGCATTGATTATTATTTTGTGGGGGTGTTGTTATTCTTCTTCTTGGTTCTTTCGATAAAGTCACGTAGAAGGGAAATAATACAATAATAAAAATAAAACATAATAAAATAATTCTCACGACGTTTTGGCCACAACGCAAGCAGCCGTCTTCAGGTGAAGAACAGGTCTGGCTTGGAAGCCTGGTGGTGTGTCATTCAGACGCTGTCTTTCCGACAGACCTGTTCTTCACCTGAGGACGGCTGCTTGCGTTGTGGCCGAGACGTCGTGAGAATTATTTGATTATGTTTTATTTTTATTATTTTATTATTTCCCTTCTATGTGACTTTACCGATAGAACCAAGAAGATGAATCCCTGCAGTCACGAAAGCTTTAAATCGGTGTTGTTATTGCTGTTGTACATTGTACGCGATTAATGCGCGTGACCCCTGCAGCCAATTGAGACGCTCGCGTTCCGCACAATGCACAAAACAATAATTAATTCTTGAATAGGGACACCGAATTGCAACAATAATATTTCTGGGTGGGAGGTGGAGGTGGGGGTGGAGGAGGACTCTTTAGATGCCCTTTCCTTCCGGCCTGCGAGGTGGCCACGAGTCGGCAGTACAGAAAGTAGGTGAGTAAACCCCATCCGTGCAGAGTTTTGTCATCCCCTACGTAGCTGTGGGGTTTTCTCCAGGTACTCCGATTTCCCTCCCACACGCAACATGTTCACCGATGGTTTAAACTCATTCCGCACAGGACGTTTATACAACGCTCGTACAACGTTTATACAACGCTTGCGCTGTACGTGCCCCATGGTGGAGATGAAGAGCCCCTTGACTAAAACAGCTGGCGGCCAAGCCGTTCAATGGGCCACATTCTGCTGACGATGCTTAAAAGGTCTAATTCGATGCAGACGGCCCATGGAATGGATGGGCAAACCCTTATTTAACTTCACACGAAGATAAAAACGTGTGGCGTGATTATTATTCATTTGTGCGTGTTACTCGCGAATGGAGTTGGCCAAACAACCCACACCGCAAGACCCCCCCCCCCCTGCCAGCCTGCCACTCGATGATACTTTTTTTTTTATTAAACGAATGGTTCAGCAGTTCCACTGCTAGATTATTTTTTCCGCCTGAGGACAACCGCTTGTGTTGCGATCGAAACGTCGTGATGTATTATATTTTATTTTATTTTTCTATCTACGTGACTCTACCGAAAGAAACAAAGAGTATGGATTCCTGCAGTCACGAAAGCTTCAAATCAAGATCGAATGACATTATTACCATTATGAGCACTAGTGTAGTAACATCACCAGCACCAGAGTTCTTGGATTCATATTTTATTTTAAGCCATTGGCATGCAACCTAAACAGTCGACACCATTTCTCTAACCTCCATGGCTCTTCTTCCCTGTCTTTCAATCCCAGGCGTGCATCTCTCCATATTTCTTTCCATACTCCATACAAACATTCCCCATTTTGTTGTTGTTGTTCTTTGTCAATGTCCTTGTTTTTGATCAGGTGGACTTGGGCAGGATACGTTTGTGGATGGCAGTGGTTCTTACCCTCTTTCTGCAGCCTGCACGCCCCTTTGGTTCTCAGAAAGGGCATCCCGCACCCCCAGGGGGTGCGCGCACCCCAGGTTAAGAACCACTGGTGTAAAGGATGGTGGCTGGTGGCCAAAGGAGAGAAACGCGCCCAAGAGGACGTTCATTGCGGTGATGAATCCAACTCTTGTGCAAGCGCAAGATGGGGAGTCCTTCGTCTAACAGTGGCCGATGATGAAGATGGCACGAGACCTCCGTTAGACCCTGTCGGCCAAGTCCAAACATGACGATGGCTCCGCAAGGATGCTTCCAGTGAGTGAAGGGTTAGAGACGGTGCCTTAGCTATCGATTCTAATCGACGATTCGAGGTGTTCGCTATCCACTTACTAAATACCATCGGGCCGGTTAATCCGTCGCGGGGCGAAGAGTTGCACGCGGATCTGCGCAGCCCCACCAAACAGCGAACCCTTCACCGTTGCTGCAAAGCCTCAACCCCCTCGTGTGTCGAACCCCCATCGTCCAGCACAACTCACTTGCAGGTCTCGAAGCCGGCGCTGATGGAGGCGTTGAGCTGCTCCATAGTGGCCAGGCTCACGCTGACGTTCTTCTGTTCCCCGTAACGCCGACACCATTCGTTCGCCTCGCTGAACATCAAGTTGTTCTGGTCGGTCTGGAACAGGCCCAGTTTCACCAGACTGGGATCGGAGAGTGTGATGCTGCCGTTGACTGCTGTGTGCGTGGCAGACACAATCGGAGTGCAAATTGCGGCACGTTTGTCGAGTTGAGTTGAGTGGTTATCTTATTTTTTATAGTTTAACGGGTAAGGCACACTGAGCTATACAGCTCTTTTTCAGAAGTGACCTGGCCACAAATGATCGCTCAACGAAGTGGCTTATCACGTGGACATTTATAGCAGCCAAATACTTTAAATGCACGTTTTAAATGTGGAGGGAAAACTCGGAGGGCCCAGAGAGAAAACTCCACACGACCACGGGGAGAACATGCAAACTCAAAATATACAGGCGTCAGGGGTCGGGATTGAACCCACGGCCTCCTGTATACCAGGAGAGGTAGTTAACATCTCGCCACCACTGGCACCCTCCTACAGCAGTAATACTGCCAGTGAGCTAGAAATCTTGAAATGCGGTATTCCTCCCTCAAAACTCTATCTTTATTTTTTTTCCCGAGCTCACCCCACGACCCCTTCAATCTCCAACTTTCTAACCACTACTACCGTCCCTGCTCCCCGTTGACAATTCTCTCCACGGCCTACCGCTTATTCCCCATCCATCAAATACATGCATCATCATTTGCTTTCATCAATGTTGCTTTTACTTCATTTCACGCATCACAGGTTCGCCCATTACCTCCTCTCAGCTCTTTTATTCACCTCACCTTCACCATGACACTCATACGTACCGTTGTTAATTCTCTGTAAAGTGCCTTGGTTAAGGCGTGATGCTATAACATTACGTAAAGATGAGATCAAATGAGAAAAAAAAACCCAGAAACATTCACGGTGAAAAGATAGCATTTCGAAAAGGGGCCGTCCATAAATGACGTCACGCGATTTTGGACGATTTTTGATCCCCCCCCCCTCGTCACACGGCGTCACAAAAAGTCAGACCCCCCCTCAAATATGACGCCACAAAGCTCTGCCCCCCTCGCCACCCCAAAAGCATATTTCCATTTTGAAAATAAAACATGCTTCAAATCGCTTTAAACTATTGTCATTGTAGTGCGTATTTAATGTGGCGCTGCACTCTGATGTTGTAGGAGGAAACATTTATTAAAAAGTCTATTTAATTAAGTAGAACGTGTTGTCTATATTTATTTAAAATTGCGCATTTTGATGTGACGTCACATTTCTCACCCCCCCCCCCTCGTCACACATCGTCACAAATGTCTGACCCCCCCCCCCCCCCCCAGGTGCGTGACGCCATTTATGGACGGCCCCTAAGCAACATAACGAATGTTGTTTTGCTAAATAACAATTACATTACCAACCCACAGGCTACCTGCCAAGTGTGGCAGTTTGAGTCACGGCTGTTTAAATAATTAATATATATTCATAACAATACAGGGCGCTTAATTTTTTCTTTACATTTACGTGGGACTATCGTTTTAGTGGAAAAAGGAACGGATAATCCACTGTAACGTGATAACAAATGTAATGTTAATAAGTTTCAAAAAGTCAAAGAGTCTCCACTTGTTCGCCATCATTGTCAACGCGCGTGCCTGGAGTCTTCTCCAGGTGGTCTCCAGAGATCCGGAGTCACGACCTTTCTCGTGGTGGTGTTGTTGTTGCAAATTCTCAGAAGTGTCAAATAAAATTAAGCATCCCGTATAGAGGGCAACAGGAAGACCGATTTGCAACCCTCCGAAGAGCCGACACGCACATTAATCTTTGTGCTGTTCAGCACCTCCGATTAGCACCCGTTGGCTACGTACGGTGCGAAAGAAGTTCAACGTACGTGTACGTACAAATGAAGCGGGCGAGTACGAGAAAAGCTGGAGAGTGCTCAACGAAGCGTGGAGAGATGCAAGCTTAGAATTTAGGGAGAGGAGCATGTGGAGTAGAGAACATACGTCGGTCAAAGACATCGCATTGTGTATGAAAGTGAGAGCGGTGGGCAGGGCGCGTCACTCGAAGGGACGATGACCGAAGGTCACGAAAAATTACGGAGTAGCAGCCACGGAATCGGAATGCGTCCGCGAGGACGTCAAATGTGTAGACGGATCGACGAAATCGGCTCGTGTTGCAGGCACCAGCAAGTGGATTCGTCGTCGATTTTTGGGGTAAGGCCACGCAATAGTTTGGCCGAACGTGTGTCGTCAAGACCCTCCACCACCACCACCCGACACAGCCATGCGGATTAAACCGCCACGTGCACAAGAAGTTTTAACATAGCCACTTCCGTGCCCTCGTCGAGGAGGCCGCTTGCCTATCTTGCAGTTATATGCTAATTTCTCACGTTAACATCACTAGCCCCGGCCACTTCTTTATGACCCTTGGGCTACACCCATTTCAAACCTTTTATGAACAGTCTGACTCAGCAGCAGACCATGCTTTCCCACCTGATGACGGACGCTTGTGTTGCGCCCGAAACGTCGTGATTTATTTTATTTTATACCCTACGTGACTTTACCGAAAGGACCAAAGGGTAAGTTTAAAGAGCCGATTATTTGCTGTTTCGGCTCACCGGTACGTGGAAGAACAATTTTCACAACCCATGTTGGCAATTATTGTTGTCGTTTTGTTGGGAACAACATCCAACAATGACTTCCTGCATCTTGTCCTGTTACTGCTTGACGTAGTTGGAAGGAAACGTGGCATGAAATGGCTACATTTAGTTGAGGAAATTGTTCCTCGACTTACCTGTGAAGTGAAACAACAACAGTCGTACACTGCGACAATGGCATGTTGATTGGCTGTGCTGGGTGGCGGAGGGTCGTTACGACACACGTTTGGCCAAATCATAGCGTGGCCGAGGCCAAAAATAAACTATAAATCACAGCATCGCCTGTGAAACTCCCTACGTGTTACACGAGGTGTATTGTTACGATCGTGAGAGATGGGGACGGCTTAAGGCGGGGGCTTCATCCAGCAGTAGATTAAGGCGACAAGATAGACAGGTGCTCGGCTAAGGTCGCGCTCTGTAGCTCTCCGATGCGTTTCCGGGTTGTGCTGTCCGGCACGAGGAGCGAAACGTCGGGCACCACACCGATCATTACCGGACAGGACGCGCTCCATTGTAAACACATCGCGAGAGGTCGCGCTTAAAAGACAAAAATGTGCCCCCCAAATGATTTCACAGCAACGTCGAACACAACCTGAACACCAGACGGATTGGTCTCCTGCAGCAGCAGCAGCAGCAGCGACGACACAAATATAATCACGAATTACCTTGGCCACTGCATCCGCTGAAGAGAGACGTGGAGACGGCGCACGAAAGACACAGCAGCAGCAGTCGCATGATGATTGACGGTGATGGCAGGCACCGATGATGACCCCCCGTTTGAGTGCGGGCCACAGCAGGGCTTTCGAGATGACAAACAAGGGGGGGGGGGGGCTGTCTCGGGGAAATCGCAGGAGAGTCACAGGAGGAGTATGAGGCAGCTCGGGCGAAAAGACGAGAGGCGTTTATCTGCTCACCAGAGCTTCCCTGCGACTGTGCGAGAAACCTCAACTAACAACTAGACGCCACAGGGGTGGTGCTGGTGGAGGTATTTGGAGTCCATGTGTACCCACGCGCGCGGCCCTTCCCCACGCTTGCGTCACACGCGCAAGTACGCGCGGCCAACCGCTCCCACTGGCGATGCGACCACTGCTCTAACCGGTTCGCTGAGCTGTTCCAAGGGGCGACGCTTTGGCGTCATCGACGACGACGACGGGAGGGAGGGAGGAGAGGTGCGCAAGGACATTCCTGAAGCCGCCGCACCTGCGCGCGCGCGCGTGCATTGCGATGTGACACGCGCGCGCACGCGGCAATGCAGCTGTGCGGTGTGGATGCTGAACTTCTTTCGAGCCGCACGTGGTCAAACCGTGCTAATTGTAGGTGCGGTGGGGGCGGTGGGGGACAACAGTGCTCGCGTTGGCAGCGAATTGGAATCAGAATCTTGATTTATCCTGGTGAAATCCGATGAGCCAAGGAAGCTCTTATTCTTTGATTCTTTTGGTAAAGTCACGTATAAAGATAAAATAATAAATTTTATCTTTATACGTGACTTTACCGAAAGAACCTAAGAATAATTCCTGCAGTCACGAAAGCTCCAAAATTAAGAAGGAAGCTCTTTTTTCACCGATTCCCAGTCGTGGTGGTACACACACAAATTAATACAACTCTCTGACACGTTCATCGAGAACACCGCTGCGCAAAGAAGACACTGCACCGCCCTCAAAGGAGGATTAAACAATAAACATAATAGGCGACGTTTCGGGCAATGGCCCCTTGTCTTCTGCTTATGAACGAGGGTCATTGCGTGACACGTCACTTATTGAGACCATTGCCGGGCAGCGTGACATACGTAGAGGGCAGCGTGACATACGTAGAGGGCAGTGTGACATACGTAGAGGGCAGTGTTTGTTGACACGTGTGGAGTGCGTCTTATTGCTCGTTGCACGGAGGAGAGAAAGGGGCAGCGCCACGTGTGATGTCGCGTGTGAATGAACGAGTCGTGTAAGAACATTGGATTTTGCGCACTCTTAGGGGCCGTCCATAAATGACGTCACGCGATTTTGGACGATTTTTGACCCCCCTCCCTCTCGCCACACGGCGTCACAAAAAGTTAGACCCCCCCCCCTCAAATATGACGTTACCAACCTCTGCCCCCCCCCCCAAAATAAAACATGCTTCAAATCGCTTTAAACTATTGTCATTGTCGTGCGTATTTAATGTGGCGCTGCCATTTGATGTTGTAGGAGAAAACATTTATTAAAAAGTTCATTTAATTAAGTAGAGCGTGTTGTCTATATTTATTTATAAAGTTGCGCATTTTGATGTGACGTCACATTTCTCACCCCCCCCTTGTCACACATCGTCACATATGTCTGACCCCTCCCCCTCCTAGGTGCGTGACGTCATTTATGGACGGCCCCTTATGAGACCATTCCACCATGAATGCGCATTGATCACACGTGCGATGCTACCGTGCTGTGTTATCGGACCGAAATTGCAATCCAAAAGGTCGCCAGTTCGATCTCCAGACGCGGCAAAATAAACGAAACTATTTGAACTTTATTATTTTGTATTTTGACAGGTAAGGCTCACTGAGCGATGTAGCTATTTCTTTCGGAAGCCACCTGGCCGCAAATGATAGCTCAACGAAGTGGCTTATCGTGTGGAAATTCAAAGCGGCCAAATATTACTCTTTGGTTCTTTCGGTAAAGTCACGTAGGTATAAAATAAATTAAATCGCGACGTTTCGATTGCAATACAAGCAATCATCATCAGGTGGGAAAACCACAGCAACATTTTTTTTTTTGCCCAAGTGGGAGAGAGAAAGCTTCCAATCTAGATTCAGCCAAATATTGTTAACCCATCTCGATTTAAAGCTTTCGTGACTGCAGGGATTCATCTTCTTGGTTCTTTCGGTAAACAGACCTGTTCTACACCTGAGGACGGCTGCTTGCGTTGTGGCCGAAACGTCGTGAGAATTATTTTATTATGTTTTATTTTTATTATTTTATTATTTCAATTCTACGTGACTTTACCGAAAGAACCAATAAGATTGTTAACCCATGTTCATTCTAAATGTGGAGGGGAAAAACCACGTGACCACTGGGAGAACATGCAAACTCCAGGGTTGGGACCGAACCCCACGGCCTCCTGTATAATAATCATAATAATTAATTATCATTTTACATTTACAAAGCGCCCTTTAAACAATCGTTACCAGGGCATCTACCAGGCGAGGTAGTTAGCGTCTCGCCACCGCGGCGCCCACATGACCAACACGGCGTGGCAAGGCCCTCCATCCAACTCGTGGCTTGACAAAGGACTGCAACGTCTCTTATCCATGTAGGCTCATTGGGGGCAAGAGCTGTTAGCGAGCACCGATTTGGCGTGACGGCACAGCGCACACGAGGTGTATGATGAAACGCAACATCGGCGGTTCTGTTGAGGCTGAGTCAACTTCAACAACGCCCTGGGGCCAGATTACAATCGATAACGTTTCTGGGTGGCACTCTACGTTTTTTATCGAGCCATAAACTCGGGCTGGTGTGATTCAACGAGGCGTTGCGACAGAACAACCATTGCATGGATAACGACGTTTCGCCGACATCACACACGGGAATCAGCATCATCATCGCCGCCTTCTCTATAGTTAAAAGCCTCAACATGACGCCTCTGACTCGCTTGTTCTCCAATCCACGCGTTTCACTTCAATTCTCCCAAAGGAAATCCAAGCGCGTACATCCACGCTTCTTACGGCACTTCGCCACTTAACCGCCGACAATTTACTGCGCATTGAAGATGGGGCCCGAGTGAGCCGTGACCGCCTTCAATGTCCGCATTGACGCTTTATTATTGCCGCACGTTTCGTGTGTGCAGTTCAAGATAATGCTGGGGTGTTTTTTGTTCCTTAAGGAAGTTTGGCCCAGATGAAGTCCTTCCAGTTTGCAAAGCTACAGTCGTATATACTCTTAGGTTTTTTCGGTAAAGTCACGTAGGTAAAATAAATAAAAACACAATAGAAATAAAATAATGTGATTTATTATTTTATTTCTATTATTACTTATATTATTTTTTTTACCTACATGACTTTACCGAAAAAACCTAAGAGTATGAATCCTTGCAGTCACGAAAGCTTCAAATCTAGAATTACAGTCGTATAGCTCCAGCCGTCTATTAATCCGAATGGGACCCATATCCTAAAGAGAGGAGTCCTTGCCTATATAACATTTGGGAATCCTGATTTGAAGCTTTCGTGACTGCAGGAATCCATACTCTTTGGTTCTTTCGGTAAAGTCACGTTATTTTATTATGTTTTATTATTTATTATTTTATTATTTCCATTCTACATGACTTTACCGAAAGAACCAAGAAGAGAAAAGTCACGTTATTTTATTTCTACCGACGTAACTTTACCGACAGAACCAAAAAGTAACATCTGGCAATTGACCAGCATGGATTCAAGCAAGCCTCGCGCTGCTGATGAGACACTACATGTCGAAATCAGTCCAGACTTTGCTTTCACAGAATGCTGCTTGAAGTGTTGCACTTCCAGAAGTGAGTGTGGCTGACGGGTAGTGTAAAATATAGTGTTCTTTTTAGTGACCACCCCACTCACCCAGTAGTGTCGTGGTTATCGCGCGCTACGCTACGATCCCAGCCACTCGAGTTCGACTCCCGCTCACGGCCAACACCTGTGACGAGTATCTGAATCGGAGGCCTAGGTCGACTCAGCCTCAAATGAGTACCTGGCGTGGTGTGTAAACATCGCCACTGGGAAGCCACCCGCCCCTTCGTGTGCTGTGCCGGCCTGCATAGGTGCTCGCTAACAGCACTTGCCCCAACAGTCTGTGCAGCCTATACGGGGGCTCTTTGTCTTTGTGTGTCAATGCTAAAGGAAGTCCCGACCCCAAAACCAAACAGACTTCGCAGACGCATTCCTGAGCCGAGCGACATTTACGTCACGCGTACCTTTGAATCTTCGTGGTTGACTAATCGCACGTAAAGTTACGTTAATAAGTGCTAGAGTGGAGTAACTCTGCTACTATAATCACCCAGGAATGTCTGTCCTTAACGCTCGTGACGTCACTCCACGTCGACCAACCCCCCTCATTAATAATCATGAGCAGGTGACGTCACTCCACATGGAGCACCCTGCCCCCTCATTAATAATCATGAGCAGGTGACGTAACTCCACATGGAGCACTCTCCCCCCTCATTAATAATCATGAGCAGGTGACGTAACTCCACATGGAGCACTCTCCCCCCTCATTAATAATCATGAGCAGGTGACGTCACTCCACATGGAGCACCCTCCCCCCTCATTAATAATCATGAGCAGGTGACGTAACTCGAAATCGAACAGCCCCCATCAATAATAATCATGATAAGGTGACGTTCTCCAAATGGATACCCCCCCCCATTCATAATAATTAGCAGGTGACGTCACTCCACATGGGGGGCCGAAGCGCCTCTTCCCCCTCCTCTGCGTCAACTGACAGCCCTCACAACAAAGGCAGAACCCTCACGTCATCACGTGATCTCCGTCACGCTGTTGAGACATCGAAGTAAAAAGGACGTCATGGCGAACAAGGGATTATAGCAATAATCCCTTGTTGATCACGTGTCACCGCGGCCTTACAAATTCCACACGAATGGATGCAATGAGTATCACGTCGCAGTCTGCTTTTCGCTTGCAAGTTTCATATTTACTGCAACACACCCGAGTTACTACTATAATGAGCCAAGAGTGTCCGTCTGTGTGTCCCGCACGTGACGTCACTCCACATGCCGCACCCCCCGTCATGAATATTCATGAGCGGGTGGATTTTTACACTCACGCAGAAGGTCGAGCGGAAATTATTTTTTCGCAAATTCGATTTAAGTTTGACGTCTCTTTATTGAAAGTCAATCTAATAAATAATTCTACGCAGCAATAAAGTGGATTTGGTGTCTTTATTTATTTATTCACCACTTGAGACAAAAGGTAAGTCTAATTTATGCTTCTACATTATGGTAAAATATACATTTATCGGTGATTTTCCAGATATTGTATCGATTTCCAATTTATTTCAACCCCAGCGACCGAAAGCAGAAGAGAATAAAGTATCATAGCAGTGAATTTGAACAAATTGAAGGTCAGTTATATACAGTGCTATAGTGAACTGCAGTGAAGTGTTTGATCACATACTTTTGTGCAAGATTCACTGC